GAGTTTGAATTTTATTGGACTAGATATGTTACTATTTACTGGTTTTTATTTATGAATCTACAGTTTAGAAGTTTTGAATTTACAGTATAGCAGTTATGGATCTACAGTGTACCAGTTATGAACATACAATATAAAAATTATGAATATACAATATAGCAATTATGAATCTACAGTATATCAACTATGAATCTACAATATTGCAATTATGAATCTGCAGTATATGAATTATGAATGTTACAGTCTAAAAATTATGGATATGGAGTATAGCAATTATGAATCTACAATATAGCAATTATGATTCTAAAGTATATCAGTTATTAATATATAGTGTTTTGGTTTGTGGGGCATCTCTTAGTGATTTGGTTATCTTATTGTTTTCTTTTCACGAATTTTTAGTGAATGTGTCTTGTAAATTTCAAGATGGTGACTGAATATAAGTGTCACAAGAATTTGTGGCTAGGGAAGCTTTATGATTGTAGGGAGAAATTGTGTCCAGCATTTAACAAGGATTATTTTTCTTGGGGAATTTTATCTTCACAAAGGAGTGAAACTACAAATCATTCCATTTCTAGAAGGCTATCTAAGACTGCTGGTCTTTGTGATTCTATTCCTCTTTTGTTAGCGTTATTTCTGAGTGGAGAAGTAAAGAAAATGGTGAAGATTTTTGTTGTGCTCAAGGGGTACCTGCTATGATGATTGACCATGTGAAACTTCTTTCACATGCTAGAGATGTATATACTATTGAGATCTATTTTTTGTTTGAGGAACAATTAATGAAAGCCAGTGCTTGTCATCAAGAAATTGTTTTGAATGATGGGTGTCAATACAAGTATCATGTGTGGCGACCAGATATAGACATTATAAGGCATGAAGTTAGTTTTAAGCCTATCAATCTTGACATTTCTTGCAGTTGCAAACTGTTTTCTGAAATGGGAATTCTTTGCTGTCATTGTTTACGCATTCTTAATGTAAATTGTGTTCCTAGTATTCCTGATAAATACATTAAGAAAAGATGGACTAAAAAGGTTGCGGTTGGTAGGAATGTGAACACTGATTCATTGTCTTATAATGTTGGTGTTCCTCCTTCAATTTGGGTTGTTGAGATTAGTAGGAATTTCAAAGATTGGTTTTTTCTAGTCAAGACAATAGTGTAGCTATACAGTTTTGTGATGAAGCTGTTGAGAATGCAAGAAAATGATTGAAGCTGAGATTGGGCAAGTGAATATTGAAGAGTGTGGTGTTTCATCTTTAAGTGGTATTGTTTAAGATCCTTCAAGCCGGAGATTGAAAGGTGTGCATAATAAAATGAGGAGTAGTGTTATTGAAAAGAAGTACACTATAGCAAGGGGAAGAAGGAGTGCTGCAAATAAGGTTTCTTCAAATACAAAGGGTGCCGTTCAATCATTGGTTTTGGAAAATATATTTGAGATTGATTGTGATGGATATCTTGTACATCCAACTTCTAGTAGCTCACAGTTTGTTCATTTTAATAAGAGTTTAGATGACAATGTAGTTGTAGATTGAGATTGTGCTATTACAATTGGTTAGCTTTGAACCTTATATTCACAACTTTTGATATATACATTTACAAGTTTTGCAGTCTATAGTCTTAATATTTGTTCCTTATTTTTTTAAGAGGTTTAAACATCTATGTTGACAATTATAGGTTTAAACATCTACGTTTAGGACACATCCCTTGCTGCTTTCATAATTTTGTGCTTTTCTTTGTTCTCATCCCACGTCATGATGGTAGCAGCATACTTAGCTCGCAACTCAGAAATGAAGTCAGCCTACAAATAAAGAACATTAAATAATCAGTTTCATGCAATGGAAAAAAAATGTAATTTGAAAGTAATATATTTTTCTCTTACATTTACACTGACATTTCTTTTGAATCCTGGGTTCCAATTCATTAGAGTTCCTTTATATGTTTCATATGTTTAATTACATATATTCCACAGTCAATGGAATTTTCAGTCTCTCTCCAGTTCATAGCAAGAACTCTATAGCAATGTCTTCTATTTTCCAGTACAAGGATGAACTTTGTGCTGTCAAGTATTCTTGGAATGCAGTTAGCTGCACAAAAAATATATCAGTGCTCATTATGCATCATACTCCATATATATCAAATCATAAGAAGCTCAAGTTTTTTATTAAGTTACCAATAATTGAGGGCAATCTCCATATTTATCTTCTTCCGAACATCAGGGGGCAGGGCTTTGTTGTCTATTACTTCAACCTTAGATGAAATTGTGTTGATGCAAACAACAAAATAGTGGCATTATGAATATATTGTGCATTCCGTGTCCAATAAGGAGGCCGTAGATGCAGTGGGACATTCTTGAATTTTCTTTTTGGCCTCTTTCGGACTGTGACATCCTCAATATCAGGCTCACTATCATTCAATGCACTGTATTTATACAAAATGCATGTAGGTAGTTATAATAATGCAATATAATATTTACAATTTAATAAGTATATGTTTATAATTTACATACTGTACATTCATAATTCATAAAATGTAGATTCATAATTATTATACTGTAGTTTCATAATTATTTTCTATGGGCAAGGACAAATCCCCGGGTCCGGATGACATGAATCCGGGCTTCTATCAGTCTTTCTTGGATGTCATTGGTAAGGATGTCACTGATTTTGTTCTTAATTGTCTATCTTAGTCGTCTTTTCCTACAAATTTGAATGATGCCAATATAGTTTAATCCCTAAGAAATGTGCTCCAGAGTATGTGTCTGATTTGAGACCAATTGCGTTATCTAATGTACTGTATAAGATTATGGCTAAAATGATTGCTAATCGCATGAAGCCGCTTCTTGAGAGTGTTATTTCAGATTCCCAGAATGCCTTCCTACCTGGCAGGTTGATCTCAGATAATATCCTTATTGCGTCTGAGGTTGGCCACTATTTGAGAAGAAGTAGTTGGGGTAGGTTGGCTGGGCGGCTCTAAAACTTGATATGGCGAAGGCGTAGGATAGGATGGAATGACCGTTCGTAAGACAGATGTTGCTAAGGTTGGGTTTTGATGAGAGATGGCTCCAGCTTATTATGTTGTGTGTTCAGACGGTGCGCTATAGGGTGCGGGTCAATGGTAAGCCAAGCGAGGAGATTATACCAACCAGAGGGCTTAGGCAAGGAGACCCATTGTCTCCTTACCTTTTTATTATCTGTGCGGAGGGTTTGTCTCTGCTCTTACAGGATTCTCAAGCGAAGGGGCTTGTGCATGGTTTTAGAGTGGCCCGGGGGGCACCAGCTATCTCACATTTGTTTTTTGATGACAGTCTGCTTTTCTTTAAAGCTAATCTGCATGAGACATTGGAGGTGAAGAAGTGTCTGAGTATCTATGAAGCTTTCTCTGGCCAGGCGGTCAACTTTCATAAGTCTAGTATTACATTCAATCGTAATACTCTCGTGGAGGTTAGGGAGCTCGTGGCTGGAGCGTTGGGGGTTGGCCAAGCCGATGATTTTGGCAAGTACCTTGGCTTGCCGTCTGTTGTTGGTAGGAATAAGAAGGTGGTCTTTGCCTATGTTGAGCAGAAGTTGAAGTAGAGATTTGGTTCGTAGAATAAGAGGTTGTTATCCAGGGCTGGGAAGGAATTTCTTTTGAAGAGTGTGGCTCAAGCTATGCCAACCTACACGATGAGTATTTTCTTGCTTCCTAAAACTCTATGCGCTTCTTTGGAAAGATTAATGAACAGGTATTGGTGGGGGATGAATGGCTCTGGAGGTAGTATTTATTGGCTGGCCTGGGATAGAATGTGTATTCCTAAGAAGTTTGGTGGTTTGGGTTTCAAACGGCTGCACGAGTTTAATCTGGCCCTGTTGGGCAAACAGGGATGGCGTCTGCTTACTAGCCTGGGTTCTCTCATGGCGCGGGTTTTTAAGGCAAGATACTATCCTACATCTTTTTTTTTTTTTTGAAGCTACTATGGGTGGAAATCCAAGCTATGTCTGGAGGAGCATTATGGCAAGTCAGGAGTTAGTCAGGTCGGGATGCAGGCGCAGAATTGGAAACGGTAGGTTGACTAGCATTTGGTCTCACCCTTGGCTGCCTAATCCACAGGATCCTTATGTGGGGCTAAACTAGGTTGGTACTAACCAGGATCTTTTGATCTCTGATTTGATTGATTCCTCTACAAGCAAGTGGAAAGTTGATATTGTTCATCAGCTTTTTGCCTATCAGGAAGCATCTCTTATTTTGCAGTTGCCTATCAATGTTGATTTTGATGATATGTGGTATTGGGATGGAGACTTAAGGGGAAGTTACTCTGTCAAGGATGGGTATAGAAGATTGGGAGAAATTGTGGCAACATGCTCTCATGTTTGGAATAATATCTGGAAGCTGCAGGTTCCCCCAAAATGGAAGCATTTCTATGGAAAACACTTTCGAAAATTCTACCTAGTTTAGATAATTTGATAAAGAGAAGGGAAGAGCTCTTAAATGTTTGTCCGTCATGCGGGATGGATGAGGAAAATGTCATGCATATTTTATGTTCATGTCCATATGCTTCTCATGTTTTGTTTACTGCTCAGCTGCCTATTCCCTCAATTAATGGCGTGAGTTTTGTGCAATGGATAGAGTTATGGCTTGGTGGTGCGTCGGGCTTCAATGGTGATACACAAGGGAAGATCTACGGTTTGCTACATGACATTTGGGCTGCTAGAAATACGGCAGTGTGGGATTGCCGCCTGCCAGCTCCTCGCTCTCTGATAGGCAGTCTCATGGCGTGTTGGACGGCCTGGAAGAACACTAGCCAGCAGCCACGCTCAAATCCCATGTAGTACGCCACCCTCTCTGGTGCACCGGTCCCCCAGTCTGCAGCTGCTGTCTATTGTTGCATCGACGCCGGTTTTCATGGACCGCACCATGCTGCGGCTTTCGGCTTTATTGTGCGGGAGGCGGATGACACCTTTGTGGCCACGGGAAATGGCCCGTTGAATTGCCCATACAACCCTCTTCAGGCAGAAGCAATGGCAATGTGTGAAGCGCTCTCGTGGTTGAAGGATAACGGCTACTCTACGGTCAGAGGTTACACAGATAGCTCAGTTTTGGTTTCAAGTCTTGAACATGCTAGTTTTTTTCGTACTTATGTTGGTTTTGTTTTACTCTCTTGTAAACGTTTAATTTCTGCCATGTCGGTTCCGTTGGTTAGTCACGTTAGTAGAGACGCTAACCGAGCGGCACACTCCCTAGCTAAGCATGTAAGTGCCACTACGACACGTTCTTTTTGGAGGGATGTTCCCCCGTCCTTTATTGAGCCTGATATGGCGAATGCAATCTGATTCTTTTTGGCTTTAAAAAAAAACTGTAGATTCATAATCAATAAACTGTAGATTCATAATTACTTAATTGTAGATTCATAATTAATAAACTGTAGATTCATAAACAATAAACTGTAGATTCATAATTACTAAACTGTAGATTCATAACTACTAAACTGTAGGTTCATAATTTTAAGAACACTATATGCAATGTGTTTTAAAATTCAGAACACTACATTGCTTAACATTCAGAATTTAAAAATTCACAAGTTATATGCAATAGGTATCATTTTCTTGGTATTCAAAATATAATGTTTTCAGTTTAAGAGTATTATTGAACTGATTTCAAAAATATTGAACCTAAGCATACATTTACCTATCAATATCATCAAGCTCAACAGCAGGGGAAGCAACAGCAGTAGGGGTGGCAGGGGAATCTCTGGTGAATGGCACCTTAATCAAAGGAGTTATTCCCTTGTTGCCGGAGGTTTAAACAACATCAGTTGGTTTTTCTTTAGACTTGTTGGAGTTTGTCACACCAGTTCCACATCCAATGCTGTCAACAAGGGCATCCAATTGTCTTCTCTCTTATGTGCTCTGCCCTGATGGTTTCTTATGTAATGGTGTTGGGGTTAGGGAAATTCCTAGATCAAAGGATGGAGCTTCTATTTCCATTTGCTTTGTTGTTTTCTAAAAGGCCTCTACCAAAGCGTCCACTGCAGCTGTGAAACTTTCTTGACCAAAGAACATATCATCTAGTTGGGATGCTGTTGGGTTTGGAGCTGCTTCCATTGTGCTTGCCACAGTAAGCATATTTGAAATTCCAGAAAAAGTTGTCTTTATCAACTCCGCAGGTGCCCCTCCTTTCCAATTTTAGCCATTGCATCTCCAAATTCAATGACATCAGCAGCAAGCTTTTGCAGTACTCGTGGCACTCTATCAGCATTGGATGGCGGCACAGAAATCGTTGGAACCCCTTGTTCAGCAGCAGGGGCAGTGTTTTGGCCTGACGTAGCAGAAGCAGCAATAGCGTGAACAGTAGCAGGATTCTCGATTCGGGGGATAACTTTTCCCTTTCCAAATCCCCCAGCCTTCTTCTCCGCATCCACTCTTCTCCTCAAAAGTTTAGTTGTCCATGCAAGAATTGTAGGGTATGTTCTAATGACTTTCATTGCCTTGAATTGGACTCTATCAACATAGAATAGCTACAATTTTCCCAAAGAAAAAAAAAAAAACAAGGGGTAAAATAAATCAGAACTAGATATTCACAATTCCATAACTATACATTCATAATTTTACTACTGTATATTCATAAATGGATTTTACATTCATAAATTCAGAAGTGTATATTAATAATTCAAAAACTGTACATTTATAATGCAACTATTGTATAGTCATAAATCTATAACTGTACATTCATCAGTTCAAAAATGTATATTCATAATTCCATAACTGTACATTCATAATTTCACTATTGTATATTCATAAATCTACCACTGTACATTCATAATTATCAAAACTGTATAGTAATAATTGCATAGTTCTATTTTCACAACAACATATTTATCCATAATTTAATAACTCTATATTAAAAGTTTCATAATTATATATGCACAATATCACAGCAAACACATTAAATGAAGTAGAGACATAACAAGAACTCACAAGGATGTATGTGGCTGCCCCATTAAACAAACTTTCAGGTTTTTTCAAGTGCTTATCAATTGATTTAATAAGAAACTTGTAGGTATAGCTACACCAATTGTACTCCTTGATCTCCCCAACATTGATCAAGGAGTTAAAGATTATGTTATTGCAGTTCCTTGACTGGAATCCTTGGAGCATTGAAGAAACGATCAAGACCATGAATCTCTCTTAAATTCATCTCTGTAATCTCCCCTGCTAACAATCGCATCTCCCATTCTTGCTGTGATTGGTGATCCAGTTTGAATTCCCCACCTTTGCCTCCAAGCATGTAATAGAGCTCTGTACTCAGCTGTCCCATTCTCTTCAAATTTTGGGGCCTCTTCCACCTCCTTTATGCCTCGCGGAATGCCTAAAGTGCACTCAATGCCCTCCTCATCAACATGTAGCCTATCGCCCTCCAATACGAAGTCACAGTTGAAAATGTCAAAGTTATAAACCAGATACTTCACCAATTGAGACTCACTTGTGTTCAGCTGAAGATTCAAGATTGCTCCAAATCCAATATCAGTGACAGTTTGTTTTTGCTGTGCCGATAGTCTCTTCACAAGTTGATGCATTACTCTTGGCCCCATTCGAGTGCTAAAGTATGCACTATCAGACTTATTTTCAGCAGCTTGTGATTTTGAGATTGCTCTTGTTCTTTTTTTTTTTTTTTTTTTTTTTTTTTTGATTGCTTTGATTTTCTGGCTGTGGCTGCAATGGCTCAGCAGCTTGTGATTTTGAGATTGCTCTTGTTCTTTTTATTTGATTGCTTTGACTTTCTGGCTGTGGATGCGATGGCTCAGCAGCTTGTGAGTTCAAGACTGCTCTTGTTGTTTTTCTTCGCTTGCTTTGCTTTTCTGGTGGTGGCTGTGATGTCTCAGCATCTTGTGCTGTTCTACTTCGCGTCATTTTTCGTTGAATTTATTTTACCACTTCATTCATAGTAGGTTCAGATTCCCTTACTGCCATTGAAAACATTAGAAATGCATGACTTTATGTATGATAAAGTATAACACACGATAAAATTAAAATGAGTTTGATGGACATATAATCCTTAAGTAGAGGGGGGATGGGGAGTGCCGAATAAATCCAGTCATGCTCTACAAAATGAATAATATGGCCATCAAATTACAAAGTGTTGTATTCACAATGTGCAAATTACAAAGTCTCACATTCATAATGTTTGAGTTGTATGTTCATAATGTTATAACTATACATTCATAATCTTATATATCTATTTTCACAAATGGAAAATTACACAGTACCACATTCATAATGTCTGAACTGTATGTTCATAATGTTATAACTGTACATTCATAAGCGTATAACTCTATATTAACAATTTGCAAATTACAGAGTACCACATTCATAATGTCTAAATTGTATATTCATAATATTATAACTCTACATTCATAATCTTATAACTCTATATTCACAAAATTTACGAACATTCATAATCTTTTGAAAACTATGTTCGTAATATTTGAAGTCTTTATACTAATATACACAACATTCGAGAATATACAAAATGTACAGAGTTTATGTTATACAAACCCTAGTTCAAAATCACAAAATGTATACAGAATGTACATGTTTATGCTCTCTAAACCCTTGTTTAAGAGTGTCAGACACATAATACCTGTATGGCGACGAAGTAAAGTAGAGTAAACTACGGGGGGCTTGGCGTGCGAACGACAGTGAAGCTTTGGCGATGGAGTCTGTGTTGATGAAAAACAGAGAGAATGGTGAAAATGGGGAGAATGAGCGTTGAAGAGAGGTTTTTGCGAAGAAGAAATGGAAGCTTGATCGACAGGAAATCGCAAAAATGGAGGCTTGATCGTGACGAGTCGGGTACTGATATTAATTTTTTTTTTTTAAAAGATGATTGGCTGAAAATAACGATGCCACTTAATGCACCGTTAATGCGCTACAATGAAACGTTGTCGTTTCAATCCGTGTCCACAGTGCATTGTGGACACGGGTCCATAGCATAACGATTGGACATTCAACTGCACACCAAAATGTAATAGGGCCATCGAACTAAAAAAGAATGCAATTGGGTAAAAAATGACTTGTTCTCTAGGTTAAGTGCTGATGTGGCGGTTAACCTCTAATAAACTATTTTACTTATTTATTTTAAATATTAAAAATTTTATGAAAATTAAAAAAACTAAAAACCACAACCCCACCCGGCCCCTTCCCTCTCCTCCCCTCGCTCCGTCTTCGCCGGCGGCGAATTTGCAGATTGATGGTACGCTGACCATTCCACCCCAGTTTCTTAATGTTGGGAGGCCACACCTATGATAACAATGAATAGAGAGGAGTATATGTCCAAAGAAATCATCAAACTTTTGTATTCATCACTCTCTCTATCTATTATCATGGTTACTGCTTTCATCCTCACCTTTTCTTCTTTATGCTATCTCCTCAACATGCTTTAGTTGTACTCTTTGCCAAGTGCGTCGCCGCCACCTTTGTCAAGACTTTCGAGAAGTGCACTCCTCCGCTTAAAGGCTACTACCTCACCATCAACGAGATTGCCTCCGTCTTCACCATCTACGTCAGCTCCGGTACCTCTGATGAATTCCACAGCAGCAATTGCAGATGCATTTTGTCTCCAGTTCAGCTGGCGAAGACGGAGGGGAGAGGAAGGGGTGGGGTTGGGGTTTTTTTTTTTTTTTTTTTTTTTTTTTTTTTTTTTTTAATTTCTTAAAAACTTTTAATATTTAAAATAAATAAATAAAATAATTTATTAGAGGTTAACCGCCACATCAACACTTAACTTGGAGAACAAGTCATTTTTGAGCCAATTGCATGATTTTAGTTTGTTCAAGGACCCAATTGCATTCTTTTTTAGTTCGATGACCCAATTGCATTTTAGTGTATAGTTGAGTGGCCTATTTGACCCTTATTCCAAAACTTTTTAGATCAAAAGGAATGGGGTGACCCAGGTTTGAAAATGAAGGTTACAAGTCCATCTGGCGCTATATTGGCACACCAAGTTGGTCATCATCAACGAGTTTACTAAGTTCCTCATTCGGAAAATCAACAATAAGCGTTTTGAATTATCTGGTGTGCGCCTTAGCCATGAAGCCCGCGATATGATTATGATCTCTGGCTATAAGAGAAAGATGCCTAACACCTGCATTTTGTAACTCCTTTCTGCAAGCAACAAGGATGTTGTCAACGATACCTCCCCTCCTGATGCCCTTGTTAATCGCCTCCACAATGTTTAGAGAATCACTCTTAAAGCAAGTGTATCTGCTGCCAATCATCTTGGCAAGTTGCACCCCTTTCAGCAATGCCCAGGCATCCGTCATTTCTATAGTGCATGAACTAATATCATGTGTAAATCCTTTGATCCAAGCTCCGTGATAGTCTCTGGCAACACCTCCACACTTTGCTCTGGCTGTTACAGGATTGAAGCTTCCATCAATATTTATCTTTATCCAGCTGGGGAGGTTTGTTCCACCTAATAAGATTCCAAGTTCTGGTTGTGGGGTGGCTAAAAGGCTTGCAAGCTTTGTTGAATGCATTATTGATTTCTGTAACTTGTGAGTGAATCTTTACGGGGCACTCGCCTTGAAGAAATTCACCGAGTTTATGCTTACAAATTGGCCCAAAAGGATCCCAGGAAAGGAAAGGCTCCAGCTATTGTCATCGATGTAAAGAAATCCACTCTCTATGCAGCTACAAAGGCAAAATTAAAGGATCTTAGAGACGCCATGAGATTATCAAGAATCAAGGCCGAGCTTGAGAGAATAGATCCTAGGGCAAGAACAAGTCATGCCAATCTGACCAAGCCCGAAACAACCCCATCAAAACATGATGAAGATGCTGATGAAGATGATAATGATGATGGTGATCAAGATGAACCAAGACAAAGTGATCATGATGATGATAACAACGATGCCATGATTACCGATACTACTCAGAGAAAGAGTGCATCTAGCCCGAAAGAAAGAGATTCACCTCACACCATGAAACATCATGAGGACGAAATTCGACATAGATGCACAGAAAGATCACCCATCAAAGACTGAATCTTTTGCTGAACCGAGTCTGAGATTAGCTAACGGTGGAAGCATGGATGCACCGCTTGGTGCGAGACAAGACGACCCTGGTCATGCACAAGAGCAAGTAAGTGTACCTCATTTAACACCAAAAGTGTTGTATGATACATCGGCCATACTCTCTATCTTGAGAAAAATGAGCGAAGAGAACAACACAAACTTCAAGCAGTTACGTAAGACTCTTCATCATACAAAGAGAACATCTCAAGAGACAAAAGATTGTGTATCCCAGGAAGGCCAATAAACCCGAAATCTGATTGAGGTACAGGCTTATGACAAGTCATTTCAAGAGGTAGTGCTGAAATCTCTAGAGTGCAACACCTCTCTGGTAAATGGCCTAGTCAAAGCAATGGACAATGTCCCTGAGGGTCTATCCAATCTCCATTTTGGCCAATACAAGATTGAAAGTGGTCAAGAAAAGATTCTCAAAGAATAGCACAGTATGAAGCATGCGAACTTCTCTCTCAAAGAACGAGTTAATCTATCCTGTATGAAGAGTGACATGGTCCATGATGATATGATGACTGTTGGAGCAAATCAGATGTAAACGATGAATGACATCAAAGAGATCAAGATAATTCTTCAAAATCTCACTCAACTATTATCCTCGGCTCCTGATGATGCCAAAAAGGGGGAAAGAAGAGACATAGATGATAGAGATGGTCATGGGAGCAATTCAAGCAACAGGCCAATGCATCCTCCCTCAGGACCATATAGGAACACGAAAGCAGATAATGACTTTGGATGCAGAAAGAAAAGAAGTTCCCTATGTACCTTATAAAGAAGGTAGCGAGAAACGTTTTGAAGGTTGCAACATGCCTCTATGGCTCAAGAGGAGAGACAATTTGGCAAGAGAGGATCATCAAAGAGACATGAACGTTGCAATCAAGATGGAGAATGAAAGACGACGAATTGTGGATGAAGAAATTAGAAAGAAGAAAGAACAGGATCTCATTCACCTCCAATGATGATCTTGACATTAAAAGGATGCTCAAGGAACAGAAGGCTCAAGAGGAAGAAGCCGGAAAGGCCATAAAAGAAGAAACTCGAAAGAAAGTGTAATAGCTAGAAAATCCTTTGTAATGCAACATCTTTGATAAATGAATACAAACCTTTTGTGTGGGTTACGTTGAGTTCTTATTTTTAATTCGTGACTTATCTAGAATCTCTTGTAAGACTCAACTATTTGGCTGCTTTGTAATGAAAATCCATTCATGGATAATTTCAGCCTTATAGCGAGAGTATAGGTTTTGACATCATCAAAAAGGGGGAAATTGTTAGGGGAACACTTGTATTTAGATTTTGATGATACCAAACTACTTAGGAATTTAGACCCCTCTTTTTTACTCTCGTTGCTTTAGGTTCTTCTGGCAGGACGAATCATCCTCAGTGATGATATTACTCACAAACTGATTCGTATTCAGTTCACGCACCAACCCGGTCAGCGCATCCTCAGTTAGTCAGCGTCAAGGTCAAGTGAACAAAAGACCGAGAGATCTCACAAGCCGAAAGATGGGAAGGTCTATCTCTCAAGCAATTTATTGACAAATGATAAAGAAAGATCATTTGATTCGTGAAGACAACGAATGATAAGGTCAATCATTCATTATCAGAGCTCGAGAACACGAGTCACAAGTCTGACTCAATTGGACAAATCAATATTCTCTCAGAAGCATAAATGTCCAAGTTTCAATTCTGGGAAATCATCCTAGACAAATGGTGTAATGAGATTTCAAATTTCAATGAGCATTAAATGATTGATACTTTTTGACAGTACTAAAATACAAAAAGGTTGTTGACTTTTTGAAGCCAATGGCTACATAGTACAAGCCGCATTTAAAGCTCCTCACCCAGCGGACAATACACACTAGTCAATAGGCTTTGAATTTTCATCTCCCTCCAACGAATGGATTTTCTCACCTATAAATACCATTCTTCTACACTTGAAGAAGGTGCTGGTCATCACTCATTACTAACAAAAGCTTTCAAAATCTCTCTAAAGCTACAAGTTTATTTTCGACCAGTGTGTTTGTGAAGATTCCTTTTAAAGCTCTCATCAAGTATTAAAACATCTTCACAGCCTCAAGAAATCTTGCAATAGTTGATACGAAGATCAAGACTTCAAGTCAAGATTTCAGTTGGAGAAACATCAATCTTTTTCCCAACACCACACTCAACTCGGAGAAGTTGATAGAGGCGGAGTAAACTCGGAGGAGTTGAAAAACCTTAGCAAGTTGCTGTCCGGCTTAGTGATCAAGGAAACAAGTTTGGCTGAGTAGTTTGTACAAAGAAGTGATTAGTGCAAACCCCTTCATAAGTTGTGAAGGAAGAGTGGACTAGGCTTCGTTAATAGCCGAACCACTATAAAATCTCTCTCTCTCTGTTTACTTACTGCCATTTAAAATTGCGTGCATTGCATTCTTATCAAACCTAAGTCAAGATCTTTAAACTTACAAGTGTCCAAAGAAAACTAAAAGATATAAACATTTCTGTTGTGCATATCTCTCATTACTCTTTTTGGTAAAGTTTCAAAAATCGCTAGTGAGTCTATTCAGCCCCCCCCACCCCCACCCCCCCCCCTCTATACTCACTCCTTTCGGTATCGAGACCAACACTAGCCAATAATGATTGTTTTAAAGCAAGCTAGACAGAGGAAAGTAAAGAAAGCAAGAATATAAATCCTTACCTTGACACCTTGATTGCCGACGAACTCACTTGGAAAGGAAGAAAAAAATAGTGGAAGTTTAGGCCGGAAGAAAAAGAACAACGGAACTCACTTGGAATGGAAGGAATTTTAGGAGGTATAAATATGAAGAGAAATTGAATTCTACACTTTCCTCCTTCGTGTGGGAAATCAAGTCGGAAAGGTGATATTTTTTTCGCAGGTTCCCAAGAACGCCAGATAATATCACTGCTTCCGGCCACTTAATTTTTCCTTTAATATTGGATTTTTAAGACACGTATCAACTACGTCGGTAAATACTTACCAACAAAATTACCGACGCATAATAAAGAATATCGAAAAAAACAAAGTTATTGTTTAGTTGATCGTTTTAGAGTCGAAAGAACTGACGTAACCATATTCTTTGGCAGTAAGGTACGTCATAAATCAACAAACTTTTTCTAGGAAAATATAATATTTACAATAAAAAAATTCCTATAAATTACCGAACATACCCTTAGTAAATAAAAGAAAGCTCATTAAAATGAAAAAAAATGAAAAAACACAACCATCAAATCATGGAAATAAATGGTCCAGATTAGTTATCACGTTCTTATTTAAATAGCTGTTCTCATTTGAATGTGTGCGTGTATATTTTTTTTTGAAAGCATGTGTCTGTGTGTGTGTGTGTGTGTGTATGTATATAGAAGAAAGTTCAAATACGACGGGGTCTTCCCATGCGGCGGTGCGGCGAAATTTCAGAATACACCAACAGTGTAATGGAAACACACCACAATGAAATGCCAAAAAAACACCAAAAAATAAACAACAGACCCAAAAAAATAAACCATATAACTCACCACCCCCAATGGTGTATTTCCGAACACTGTTTTATGTTTTTAATCACACCTAATGGTGTGTTTTTGGTGATGCGTACCTAATTTGTGTGTGTTTTGTGGTGTATTTTCTTAATGTTGATGGTGTATATTTGATGAACTATTGGTGACGCCGCACCACCGCACTTGAACCTTCCTCTATATATATATATATATTATATATATATTATATATATATATATATATATATATATATATATATATATATATATATATATATATATATATATATATATATATATATATATATATATATATATATATATATATATATATATATAGAGAGAGAGAGAGAGAGAGTAAGGTTCCAATGAGAACACTTGCTTAGGTGTGAACGTGATAACAAATCATGTGCATCTATCTCATATTTTTTTAATGGTCTAGATTAGATTAAGTGTGTGCGAATGCGAATTAAATGTGTGCAAATACACTTAATCGAGTTTGCACACATTTAATTCGCCTTCGCACACACTTAATATAATCTAGACCATTAAAAATATTGGATTGATGCACACGGCTTGTTCTCACGTTCTCAACTAAGCAAATGTTCTCATATGATCCTATATATATATATATATATATATATATATATATATATATATATATATATATATATATATATATATATATATATATATATATATATATATATTAAAATTCTATATTTAATACATGGACAATGACTTTTTTATTTTTTATTTATTATTTTTTTTTCTTTTTTTCTTTTCATTTTTTTCCTTTTTTTTTATTCCATTATTCAAAAGTAGAGTAAAAGAGTAATGAGTTTTATAATTATCAAATAATTTGATTTCAATAGTAGAATAATAAAAATAGACAAACAAATTCATGTTAATAAATATCAAAACTCATAATAGGATATAACAGTGTCCAACCAACACACCAACTATTGTAGCACTAATATTTTTCAATTGTTATATCGTGCACCAGGGTGCATAATGCATTGTGCGCCCTAAAAATCCCATGTTTTGTATATATGTACATAATTGTATAGTAGAATACACATAAACTCTTAATATAATACACAAAATTTTAACATAATACATAATATACATAAACTCTTAACATAATACACATAATCTCTTAACATAATACACATAAATTCTTAACGTAATACATATAAACTCTAAACTCTTAACGTAATACACATAAACTCTTAGAACGCATAATGCGGTGTGCACCTTGGTGCACGATATAATTTGCCAACATTTTTCGGTCTTGTTTAATATGAGACGTGCAATTTGGGCTCTGACCTACCAAGAAGTCTTTTTTTTGTTTGTTTTTTGGTTTTGCCAAGTCAACCTAACACCAAACAATTTCCATTTATTGCGGGTTAGAAGCATCTGTACATCTCCCTATTGCATGTCAAGTAGTCAACTATTGGCCAAAAACTGTGGGTGAAAAGAGCACTATTGGCTAATCCGCCCACTCCATTGTATGGAGTGAAGCCGAACAAGTTGGTAGGTTTCAAGTTTGATTTTTAATTAAAGCACTTTATTAAGATTAACAAATTATAATTTATGTCCCTCCATAATATGCCACTTATCAATATCATCCCTGAATTATTAGTGGTGTAAATATTGTCCCTCAATTTATAAAATGGTACATATAGTATCCTCCCGTAATGTAATGTTGCCCCTTATTTTTTCAAAACGGTACATATATTGCCCCTCCCGTACGGTACAGGAGGGGCAATATATGTACCGTTTTGAAAATTAAGGAACAACATTTACACCACTAATAATTTAAGGGTGACATTGATAATTGGCTAGTATGGAAGTGCATAAATTACAATTTTCTCTTAACATTATTAGTTTAAACTTGTTAGTTATAGGTAATTTAGTTAGATTTATTGTACACATTTGGAAGACGGTTTCGTGTTTTCCTCGTCACGCATAAAAAACTAAAAGTATAACTTTCTTTTTTTTGAAAAAAAAAAGTTCTGTGTAATACACTAATACTTCTCTTATTTATTGGGGAAGTCGTTTGGCTAATATGATATTTTGATTTTTATTACATAATTTTCAAGATTAAATTGGACATATTAATCATTATAGACAATAATTTTTAATCAAAGCAACTATTCAAATATATAATGAGAGTCATTATTCTATTATTATGGTCCTGTTTGGTAAAATAATTAGCCTATAAGTTAATTTTGACTTATTTGACTATTATTAATTGTTTGACTTGGTTGAAAAATCAATAGAAGTGTTTTGTTAATTAGCTTTTTGTAACTCCAAAATGCTAAAATTCAAAAAGCTGTTCAAAGCAACTTTTTCAATTAGCTTTTTAAGAAAAACAATTATATCAAACAGCTATTAGCTAACAACTAATTTATCAAATACTTTTCTGCAATTAACAAATATTATCAACTAATTATACCCACTAATTAACCTAATCAGAGTTAACAGCTATCAACTAACAGTCATTTACCAAATAGGGCCTATATATGGTCATAAAAGCCCGTAACTTCACATGCATGAAAGATTATATGTGAATATATGATTGATAGTACTAATTCCCGCATGTGTAGGATGAAGGTACTGCATGCATGTATCTGGATTGTGTATAAACAATAAAGTATATGAACAAGGAACAAGAGATATAACAAAGCAAGGTTCTTTTATTGATAAATTGTTCTTGTCTGTTTTCTTGTAGAGAAAGGGAAGAGATTAAGCCAAATGCATAGAGAGAAAGTGGAGAAAGTGGAAGTCTCCCCCCCCCCCCCCCCCCTCCCCTCCCCTCCCCTCCCCTTTGAAGGGCCACACGCCTTTTTAAAGGCGCAAGAAGGTGGCAGGTTTGACCCGTCACCTTTGATGTAACACCCTACTTTTCTTAAACTTAATTAAAGTTCTAAAACAAAATTAAGATAAACTAAGGAGCGTAATTAAAAACAACTAGATAACATAAGAGCTGGGTCCACCTGAAAGGGGTTTTGCAAATAGACAAGTAGAAATTACCCGTTAGCACGAAGCTAAGTATAACTCCACTCAACCTTGTAAAATACTACAGTATATACTTTGGAAAAACATTTGCTCACATTCCCAAATTAAGCAATCTCAATCACTTAGACAAAACCTTTACATAAAACACAAGGCTTTCTATATGCTCACAACCTAAAATATCAAATAGGCATACTTCAACGATATCAAAGCTAACAACATGCTCATACTATCGCATACTTAACGTAGCAAATCTCAATTCTATATAACATTTCAATAACCATCTCATGCTAACACATAAAGTTATCAAGCAATTTCGTGCTATCAAACAATAAGAAATTATTCTCATGCTTTCAAGTTCTCATCATGCAAACTAGAAATATCAATATGCAACTAAGGCAATCATACACAATATACAATCTCGGTAATCATTCTCAATATGCAATCTAGTGCAAACATTCTCATTATGTAATCTCGTGCAAAACTATACTCAAATGCAATCTCGTGCAACATTCTCATTATGCAATCTCGTGCAATACTATACTCAAATTCAATCTCGTGCAAACATTCTCATTACGCAATCTCGTGCAATACTATACTCAAATGCAATAAGATGCTATAGGATAAGTATACTTATACACTTTTGTGAAAAGAATACATTTCTGTGGAGAATTCTTAGAGCCACAAGGACTCGCTTACTTTCATTTCTTAGAGTCGCAATGACTCGCTTTCTTAGAGTCGCAATGACTCACTTTCTTTACAAATGGATGAGGTAGGAACTTCACCGTAGCGTGAATGAACCTATCCCGGTACGGCCTCTAGCCGACCTATGCTCAATGTCATCCACCGAACCACTCTCTGGGTTCTAACTCATTTCTATGGAATCAGGTATCGAACTTTTAGCGTGCACACCCCCTGACCAGGATTCCAAGCCTGGCGAGCAGTTTCCAACCTCGTAACGTGGGAATACACTGCGTTACAACACATCGGATCACAATATCCGGTCAACATCATCTGAAAGGACATAGTCCCAACGGGTTCTCCAAAACCTCACATATATAGATAGATAATATATGTATCTCTCATGCACCAAACTTATGCATGTCACAACTCAACAACTTCTCAGTGCAACAAGGTAAAGACATATCACATGCTCACGATTTCTTTGGAAAATAATACTTAGGCTCACGTTGGCCATTTATGCACTTATAAAACATGATATGCTTAGAGTGCGATTTACTATACAACATGCTTCAAATCTATATATCACAGTGAAATCTCAATAATTCAATAAATCATGCTTGTAAGTCATAACTTGACAAATCTCCTCAACTAACACTTAGCAACGATTTAACATGCCATTACAACTCAAAATGCTCGATGTAACCTCATTCACAGTATAACAATACTCAAGGAAATCATGCTCAGTACATTATGGTGATTTTAAAACAAGGGCAGACAACTCAAATGAACATACTACACATTTTAGTCATGCTTCTTCTAGCAAAACTTAGCACATAGGGTTCATGCTTTTCTATTTAACAAGTCAGTAATATCATGCTCAACATATAGAGGACCAAAGCCTGGTAAACACTTAATCTCATTTACTGAACATGCTTCTGTAACATTTTCTTATACAAAAACATTCATAACTAGCTCAAAACTTAACCAAATCCAACGAAATCAAAGCCAAAACATTCTTCAAGAAGGCCCTAAGGTACCGAGCCGTGACACCTGGTTCGAAACGACACGTAGCTGAGACGCAAGGGCCCGACCACTGCACAGAGAACAACTCAACGGACCTTGGGGCGGGGCTCAACTAGGCCCGCCCCTCGAACCGCCATCTCGCCGGCTCTAGGCAACGACCCTCTCCTAGGGCCGTTCCCTAGGCCCGGCTGGCCACGGATCTAGCCAACGGTCCCCTTGTTGGGCCGTTGGCTGGGCTGGTGAACCTATTGGCGCACAATGCTTGTGCACCAGATGATTTCTTCTCATCTGCAAAACATTCTCAGGCAAATCTAGCACATCCAAAACATCAACAACACATCATAGACAAGTAATAGATCACTTAATAGCTCAAACACTTCAAAAATCTAGCATTTCTACTCCATGGGTTATACACTTTATAGATCAAAAGTTCTTAACTTAAACCTTTCTAGGGATACATAGTATTTCCCAAAATATACAATATTAATAACTAAGTAGTTTTAGGGAAAAGATAGAATAAGCTTCCAATATCTATATGATCAAATATATATTTCATACATAATTATATATGTACATATTCTCAAAATCAAGTATAACACTTCCCAAAACATATATGCTCATATGTATAATTCTAGAAATAGAGCTTTCTTGGCAAATCATAGCTTTTGGTAGTTCAAAATCCTTCTCAACATATTTAAGATTTACTATAAAAAAAATACTTTTAAGTATAAATAAAACCTTCAAGCCCAAATAATATAATATATAAACTCCAAGATAATTTCTTAAAAGTTAAAGTTGCTCATGTGGAACAGATTCTAATTAATAATCAAGAGGTTAGGGGTTCAAATCCTATCAAATAATCACTAGACTAAAACTTAAACAACACGTTTGGTTCACGGAATGAATTTTGAGGTAATAGGAATGCTATTCCATAAGGAATGGAATATAATAGGAATTGTACTCTATTGTTTGGTTCGCGGAAGGGATAGACTTTAGGAATTATATTACAGTGTTTGGGTAAATACCCTTAGACGGTGGTGAAATAGGATAAATTTATATATAGGATAAAAAAATTAGGTTAAAGAAATGGGTAAAAAAGAAAATATATTCCTGAGCGTTCAGTAATAGGCTAATACCAGGGGGACCCTAGTAATAGCTATTACCTTATTTGAAGTAATAGGCTATTACCAGGAATATTATTCCGAGTAATAGAACTGGTTACCAAACAAAGGAATAGGCCTATTACTGGGAATGTTATGCCATTCCCGGCCTATTCCATGAACCAAACGGGCCAAAAGAGAGTTGTCAATCAAGGGTTTTGAGCAAAACAACAACGAAAACATACATTTCATCATTTTAAGTATCCAATATATAAATATCTACACACATAAACCACTAAATCACATAGTTTAGGGCTAAATAATAGATTTGGGAATCCATGAGTTATACCTCAAGCTTCAACCTCAAGGATCTCCCCATCTCTAACCTCAAGCTAGGTCTTCTTCTTTACCATCTCAATTTCTCAAGCAACAACCAAAACAATACCCAAAAAAAAAAAAAACACATTTAAGCTTAGATAGTCTATGTCATCTTAGAGAACAAGTCAACAAAGGAAGATGGAGAAGAAGAGATGAAATCTTACCAAGTCTTGGACCTAGGCTTTGCTAGAAGAAGCTCAAAGATGGAGAAGATGAACTTTATAGAAAGATGGGGAGAGAGACACGAGAGAGTAATAAGAATGCTGCAGATTTTTGGAGGAATGAATAGTGAAGTAAGGGAAAAATATTATTCTTTATAGTTAGGGTTTTGGGGGTAAAAATGTGAAATAAAATTGTAGGGTTCGCCTTGCATCATGAACCATGGGGTAGAATTCAAGATTTATAATAGTTTGGGGTTAAAATGAATTTCCCAAAAATGATTCTTAGATAAACACTTGATTTAGACTTCTCAGAT